TATATATATATATATATATATATATATATATATATATATATGTCTATATGTGTGTGTGTGTATATATATATATATATATATATATATATATATATATATATATATATATATACACATACAGTAGTCCCTCACTACTTTGCGGTTCGTTTATTGCGGATTCGCTCTATTGTGGTTTTTCAAAATAAGATTGGACATGACACACAATTGGCTGAATGATGGATGAGCTGCACGATCGGCATGGAATTTTTATTTAAAATAAATAGTTTAAAATTATTTAGCACCTGCTGCTCCTTTGTGCAGCTCACAACTGTAGAAAAAGCTTCCTCCTGCGCATCTGTGCCGCCCTTACTGCAGGATAAACTTCCTCCTGCAGCTGAACAGCTGATCAGCTGATCTGTGTGCAGAGCGGAGAAGTGGGCGTGGCCGAGAGTGCTTGCAGGTGGCTGAGAGCAGCAGCACAAAGAGGGAAATCATGACATTCTGTGCTCTTTTAGAGCATTTAGAGTTTAGAAACATTGTTTAGAAAATTGTAAGAGTGTGGAAAGGGTTTAAAATATATAAACTACTAATTATTACTTGGTCTACTATTCCTACTTTGCGGTTTTTCACTTGTCGTGGGTCTTCAGGGTACAGATCCCCCGCAATAAATGAGGGACTACTGATATCTATATCTATACAGTATATATATATATATATATATATATATATATATATATATAAAATGTTTGTGTGTGTGTGTGTGTGTGTGTGACAGCTTTCTTGACCACGCCCACTTCTCTGCTGCAGAGCAGAGATCAGCTGCAGGAAGGAGCTCCTCCCTGTACCTGTGGGATGCACACAGGTGCAGCAGGTTCTAAAACAAATTATTTTAAATAAGAAACCCATGCATATCATGTAGCTCATCCATCAGTCAGTCAGTTGTGTGTCATGTCCAATCTTACTTTGAAAAATGCGAAAGAGCGAGTTCACGAAAGTCGAACCGCAAAGTAGCGAGGGACCACTGTACTGTCAAAGGCAAATAGTCTGGATCTCTGTCCAGTTGAAAATCTCTGGTTAAAAGTGAAGAAAATGGTCAATGACAAGGCTCCAAACCTGTAAGGCTGATCTGGCACCAGCAATAAGAGACATGTGGAGACAGCTCAATGAAGAAAACTGTTTGTCATTAGTTTGATCCACGCCTCAGAGAAGTCAAGCTGTTCTAAAATCTGGAGGTGGTGCAACAAAGAAAACTTTGTTGCACCACCTCTGGCTTTGGTGCCGTGCTTTTCTTATTAATCTTTAACTGTTTCTTCAGATTTAAGTGATTCCATATTTTTTCCTCCATTTGATCTAAGAAAATATAAATTGTGAATCAGGGGTGATTCTAGAATCTGACCTTTAGGGGTGCAGTGTGCTGGTGCTTTCCCTGTTTGCAACGTTTTTCTGTTGCATATGTTTTTTGTGTTTGCGTGCGTGTTTTTTTTAGTTTGCGTTTGTTTTTTTGTGTTTGCATTTTTTTGTGTTTGCGTGTTTTTTTGTGTGTTTGCATTTGATATTTTTATGTTCGCGTTTGTTTTTTGTTTGCATATTTATTTGTTTGCGTGTGTTTTTTGTTTGTGTTTGCATTTGATTTTTTGTGTTTGTGTTTGTTTTTTGTGTTTGCATTTTTTTGTGTGTATTTGCATGTTTTTGAGTTTGCATCATACATGTGTTTGCTGCGCATTTCGCCGTTTGCTACTCGTTTGCACCCGCCGGCCACCGTAGCTTAGCCCTCAGTGTTGACAACAGCTCTTGGCTTGAACAACACAATGGCCATTGGCATCAGAAGCATTTGTAATGTGGGGGGGACACACTAGTGGGAGGGTCTGGGTGGTCCTCACCCAGAAAATTTTGAATAAAGTAGATGCCATTTCCTGCATGCTCGTGTATTTTAACAGGTTGTTAAACATCTATGTTTACCTACATAAGTAAACGCTTGATTCAATAACTATTTTACAGAGCACGGCACAACAAGAAGTAGCGCTAAGCTAGCAGCGTGCAATACAGATGTGCTAGCTAAGATGCTAGAGATGTAGCATTCTGCTTTACGTGACACAACCTGATAAACGCTTTGTACAAAATCAGTTTAGTGTTAACTGATCATAACAAAAAAAAAAAGCCCCCAAAAGAGGCTAAAATCACCTTTGTTGTGAATCACTACAACAATTATATTTTTCTTTTGTTATGGTTTTTTAATGCCAGAAGGTTGGAATTTTGAATAATGATAATTTTGTGGCATGTCTGTGATTTATCTTTTTTAAATAAAATCAAACAATTGGAAGAACACCCTCCAGGAGTGGTGATTCTGTCATTTTTGACATGGGTCTAAAATATGGCATCCAGATTTTATCAAAGCATCTAAAAAGAAAAGACCAATAAAAAAAAAATACCTGCGTATCCACGTGGTCCAGGAGAACCTGAAATAATAACAATTGAGATGCTAAATTTGAAATGTTAACAAAACGAAAGGAGCGGTGCAGAGTGAGGGATTCAGTTACGTTACACAATCTGGTCACCTGTTGATCCTTTAGACCCAGGCAGCCCTGGAGGCCCTGGTGGTCCAGTATAAAATGTCCCTGTAAGAAGAGCAGACCTGACCTGAGTCCTGTCACTGTTTCATCAAACCCAAAGAGAAAACACAAGTTTACATTCTGAATCATACCAGAGCTGGATGCAAAACCTGGGTCTCCTTTTTCTCCTTTGGGTCCAGGTATTCCATAGCCTACAAAACACAAATTCAGTGGACGAGTGTAACATAATAAAAGTTATAGTATGAATTTTTGTTTGAAATAGGAGCTTACCTGGCTGGCCTGAAGGCCCAGGTGGTCCTGGGGGTCCCTGTCTTGAATCACCTAATGAAATCAAAAACACAATTTTTAAACGGATCTGACTCCACATGACCACAGAGTGGTTCCTCGCTGGTAACAAACAACTCAGTCAACGTTTGTTTTTATGTGAGTGGGTTTTAAAAGGGACGGGATTGTGTCTGATTTACCTGGACGTCCAGGAGGCCCAGGTGGACCCGGCGGGCCACGCAGTTCTGACAGCGCAGAACCAAATTGTCCTAAAGCAGAAAATAAATATAGCTTTAAGTGATGAGCTCCTGACGAAACAGGTTAATTTTGGAAAGGGTTAACTCCAAAAGTCCATCAGTTGTAGCTAAACATCAAAGAACTACTTTAAAAAGTTTCTTTAAAATCTGTCCAGATGTTTATGAGATATTTTGCTAACATTCTTGCTTTGAATCTATTCAGCATCAAACTAAGTTCAGAAAAAAACTGCATGTATTTAAGAAAATCCTCAAAAACTCACTCTGTGCAGTGGATGAGGATATACTTTCACTGGTCCTGATTGTTATTCCAGCTTCTCCTTGGTCCCCCTTATAGCCCCTGTCTCCTTTAGGACCTTTGACAACAAAACACAACAATTGTCAACACGAGCATTGACGACCAAAACCTATAAAACAGTTTGGTATGGCACAGTGACATACCAGGTGAGCCAGGAAGACCAGCAGGGCCAATGGGACCTGAGGAGGTAAATAAATAAAATTACAGTTTTTTGTGTATCATGAAGAGACTGGCAACCAAACTTTAGGAAAATGTCAAAAACAAGACCTGATAAACCTGGAGGTCCGGCAGGGCCAGGAGGACCGGCAGGCCCAGGTGGGCCTGGGATGCCAACAGAAGTGGAGCCAGCTGGGACAGAAAAGAGATCAATAAATCTTGAAATGTTAAGCTTATAAAAACTGCACCAAAACTCCAGTTTTATGAAGAGTCCTGACCTGCATTGATGATTCTCCCTGGTACACCAGGTTCACCTGAGCACACAAACACATGCCAAATGCTGAACATCAAACTAAAGCAGATAAATTGCATTTCCTGCAAAAATGCAGTGTGAATGATTATTGCAGAAGAACTTGCTGAAAACAGCTAAAAATAGCTAAAAACAAAACGTGCTGAACTGTAGATGAAATTGAAAGTTAAGCCTAAATTAGCAGAAGAAAGCAGAAAGAACACATATTTGCTGAATTAAGTTTAAATAAACAGAAATGAGTACAAAAATTAGCTAAAAACAGCTGAAAAATGCTTAAAAAAATGCTTAAACGGTAGCTGAAAAAGTACAACACTCTTAAATTAGCAGAAGAAAACAGAAAGAACATGTTTGTCCAGTTAGGCTGAAAGAAGCAAAAATTAGCACAAAAAAGTGGAAATTATCTGAAAATGCAGAAATTAGAGAAGAAAAAAAAAACGTTGAAATGTAGCTACAAAGACAGAAAGAAGCTTAAATTACCAGAAGGAAGTAGAGAGAGCCTATTTTTGCTTAATTAAGCTGAAAAAAGTTGAAATGTGTGCAAGAAATGTGGAATTAGCTGAAAAAGCTCAAATTGCAAAGTAGCATAAAACAGCTAAATTGTAGCTGAAATTACAGAAAATGCTGAAATTTGCAGAAAATAAGCTGAAAGGATCATAACAAGCTGACATTGGCAGAAATGCATTAGAATAATCACAATAATATTGTAGTTAGCATAAAGAATCTGAAAGGAGCAAAAAAACAGCTGAAAAAACAGCTGAAATTAGCAGAAAATAGCTGGAAAAAAAGTTTAAATTTGCACAAGGAAGCTGAAAGAAGCTAAACTAGAACAAAATTTGAAAGGAGCAGTAAAAAGTTTTAAACAGATCTAAAGATGTGAAGGATGTAAAATGAGCTCAATTCATTTTCTATGAGGAAAAAAATGGCAGAAAAGGCTAAATATTTCAAAAAGCTAAAGTTGCACCAATAACAAAAGTCAAAGCACCCTTCTCCTGAAGGTGCTGAACGTTTTGATACTTAAATTGCTGAAATTGCTTAAAAACTGTGGGATGAGAATTGCAACGAAAAACATACGGAATCTTTTTTTCATTTACCCTTTATTAATACAGATAGTCTCATTGAGCCACGAGAACTCATTTTCAAGAGAGACCTGTTTAGGGATCAGATTGGGGGGTTAAGAGCCTTGCTCATGGGCCCAGAGTGGGGCGAATGAGGGTGGGGGCAAGTGTGGGTGCTTCACCTACCCCACCCACAATTTTGGTATTGTCGGGGCCAGGGCGTGAACCGGCGATCTTTGGATCACAGGCCCACCTCTCTAACCTCTGCGCCACCACTCCCCAATTGTGATCCACGGGATCACAATAGTGTGAATGCAAAAACTATTTGTTGTAAACAAATGGCTGACAAGTTCAGAGCAATTTTACCTTTGACTCCAGGTTGTCCTGGATTCCCTGGTATTCCTAAAATTTAGAGAACATCATCAGTGTGGAAAATATTAAATATGGAAAACTGAATCTGCAAGACAGCTGGATAAGACAGGTCTACCTGGTGGTCCTTGAAGCCCAATGGTTCCTAAAGACAAGGACATATTAACATGTTTTACTCTTTATTTGGGTTAAAATAATGCTGATAAAATTACGAATGGATCAAAGAGATGTCACCTGGAAGTCCAGTATCTCCAGGAAGCCCAGCAGGACCTCTGAGTCCTGGAGGCCCAGTAGGTCCTTGGTCACCTGAGGCCAAAAGTAAAAAACCTGACTTTCTGCTGATCTGACCATTGTGCAGAAGTAAGCTTAGGTTTTTAAAGGAGACATGCTTTGACTGAATAATTTACCTCTCGATCCTTTTGCACCTTCTTGTCCAGAATATCCTGGAAAACAAAATAAAAGTGAAGATATAATACAGAAGACGTGTATGGACAAAATAAAACAAGGAACTCGGTGTGGGTTACCGGGGCCCCACCCTGGAACAAGACCTGGGGGAGGGGCTTGTCGGCGAGCGCCTGGTCACCGGGTCTCTACCTATGGGGCCCGGTTGTACTCAGCCCGAATGAGCAACATGAGTTTGCCTTCCTGTTGGTCCACCATCTGCAGGAGGGGCCATATGAGTCAGATGCATGAATCCATGAGCAGTGGTCGAAGGTGGGGACCTCAGCGCTCTGACCGTGGCTTACCAAAGCTGGCTCTTAGGACATGGAATGTAAAAGGACTGTACTTATATAGCGCCTTTCTATCTTATTTTAAGACACTCAAAGCGCTTTACACTACAATCTGTGTCCTCATTTACCCATTCAAACAGCACTCTACTAGATCTCTGCAAAGCTAATTGAACAAGTCATTCTAATGAGACTAATCAGTGCTTTAGATCACATTCATACACTGATGGGACACACATCAGAGGCAACGAGGGGTTCAGTGTCTTGCCCAGGGACACTTCAGCATGTAACTGCTGGTGGATTCGAACCCCAAACTCCCGCATTGGAGGACGACGGCTCTAACCACTCAGCCATAGCCGCCCAATGTAACCTCTCTGGTGAGGAAGGAACCTGAGCTTGTGTGTGCGGTTGAGAGGTACCAACTAGATATAGTTGAGCTCACCACGACGCAAAGCATGAGCTCTGAAGCCGATCTCCTTGAGAAGGGTTGGACCTTATTCCACTCTGGAGTTGCCCATGGTGATAGGCGCCGAGCTGGTGTGGGTATACTCTTAACCCCCTGACTTGGTACCTGTGTGTTGGAGTTTTCCCCAGTAGATAAGAGGATAGCGTTCCTGCACCTTAGGGTGGGGGGATGGGCTCTGACTGTTGTTTGTGCCAAACGGTAGTTCAGAGTATCCGTCCTTCTTGGAGTCTTTGGCGGGGGTCCAGCTGGGGACTCCTTTATTCTGCTGGGGGACTTCAATGTCCATTTGGGTAACGACAGTGTGACCTGGAGGGACGTGGGAGGAATGGCCTCTGATCTGAACCCGAGCAGTGTTCTGTTGTTGGACTTCTGTGCTAGTCATAGTTTGTCCATCACGAACACCATGTTTGAACATAAGGGTGTCCATAAGTGCATTTGGCACCAGGACGCCCTAGGTCGTAGATCGATGATTGACTTTGTAGTCATGTCATATGATTTGTGGCTGTTTGTTTTGAACACTCAGGTGAAGAGAGGAGCTGAGCTGTCAATTGATCCCCATCTGGTAGTGAGTTGGATCAGATGATGGGGGAAGATGACGGACAGACGCGGCAGATCCAAACGTGTAGTGAAGGTTTGCTGGAGATGCCTGGCAGAAGAACCCATAAGAAAGATCTTCAACTCACACCTCCGGGAGAACTTTCACCGCATCCCAGCTGAGGTGGGGGGATACTGAGTCTGAGTGGGCCGTGTTCCGCGACTCAATTGTTGAAGTGGCTGCCTTGAGCTGTGGCCACAAGGTTGTCGGTGCTTCTCGCGGTGGCCATCCTCTAACTCGGTGGTGGACACCCTGGATTAGAAAGGCTGTCAAGCTGAAGAAGGAGTCCAATCAGTCCTAGTTGGCTAGTGGGACTTCGGAGGCAGCTGAGGAATACTGGAGGCCCAAGTGGTCTGCAGCCTTGGCTGTTGCGGAGGCAAAAACTCAGATGGTAGAGTAGTTTGGCGAGACCCTGGACGACTCTCAGTCAGCTCCAAGGAGATTCTGGCAAGCCATCAGGTGGCTGAGGAGGGGAAACATCACTCTACTAACACTGTGTTTAGTAAAAATGGAGTGCTTTTGATCTCAACCAGTGATGTCATTGGGAGGTGGAAGGAATACTTCTCAGACCTTCTCAATCCCACTGGCACATCTTCCATGGAGGGAACGGAGTCAGGGGACTTTGGGGTTGGTCTGTCCTTAACTGTGGCTGAGGTTGCCGAGGTAGTTAAAAAGCTCCATGGCAGCAGGGCTCCGGGGGTGGATGAGATTTGCCCTGATTTCCTTAAGGCTCTGGATGTTGTGGGGCTGTCTTGGTTGACATGCCTTTGTAACATCATGTGGACATTGGGGACAGTGCCACTGCATTGGCAGACTGGGGTGGTGGTTCCCCTCTTCAAAAAGTGGGGCCAGAGGATGTGTTCAAATTACAGGGGCATCACTCTCCTTAGCCTCCCTGATAAGTTCTATTCAGGGGTACTGGAGAAGTGAGTCCAATTCGAACCTCAGATCCAGGAGGAACAATGCGGGTTCCATCCTGGCCATGGAACACTGGACCAGCTCTTTACCTTCAATACGGTCCTCAAGGGGTCATGGGAGTTTGCCCATCCAGTCTACATGTGTTTTGTGGACTTGGAGAAGGTATTTGACCATGTTCCTCGGGGTCCACTGTGGGGGTGCTCTGTGAGTATGGGTTTGGGGGCCCGTTGTTACGGGCTGTTCAGTTCCTATGCAAGGAGTGCGAGAGTTTGGTTCACATTACCGGTAGTAAGTCAGACCCCTTCAGGGTGGGAGTTGGACTCCACCAGGGCTGCCCATTGTCACCGATTCTGTTCATAACTTTTATGTACTGAATTTCTCGGCGCAGCCAGGGGGAGGAGGGATTCCAGTTTGGTGGACTCAGAATTTCATCTCTGTTCTTTGCAGATGATGTGGCGTCATCACGCCGTGATCTTCAGCTCTCACTGAAGTGGGTCGCAGCCGAGTGTGAAGTGGCTGGGATGAGAATCAGCACCTCCAAATATGAGGCCATGGTCCTTAACCAGAAAAGGGTGGATTGCTCTCTTCAAGTCAAGGGTGAGGTTCTGCCTCAAGTGGAGGACTTCAAGTGTTTTGGGGTTTTGTTCACCAGTGAGGGAAGAATGGAGTGTGAGATTGGCAGACGGATTGGTGCAGCGTCTGCAGTATTACAGACTCTGTACCAGTCCGTTGTGGTGAAGAAGGATCTGAAATGTAAGGCAAAGCTCTCTGTTTACCAGTCATTCTATGTTCCTACCCTTAACTATGGTCACAAGCTCTGGGTAGTGACCAAAAGAATGAGATGGCAGATACAGGCGGTTGAAATGAGTTTCCTCCGCAGGGTAGCTGGACTCTCCCTTAGAGATAGGGTGAGAAGTGCAGTTATCCAGGAGAGACTCAGAGTAGAACCGCTGCTCCTCCACATCGAGAGGAGCCAGATGAGGTGGTTAGGGCATCTGCTAAGGACGCTCCCTGGGCGCCTCCCTAGGGAGGTGCTTTGGGCAAGTCCGACTGGGAGAAGACTCCGGGGATTCCCAGGACAAGCTGGAGAGACTACATGACTCGGTTGGCCTCAGAACACCTTGGAGTAACCCCAGAAGAGCTAGAAAAGGTGGCTGTGGAAAGAGATGTCTGGGCCTCCCTGCTCAAGCTGCTGCCCCCACAACCTGACTTTGGAACAAGCGGACTTTGGAACAAGAGGAAGATAATGCATGCATGCATGCATGCTTGCATGGATGGATGGATGGATGATGGATGAATGGATGGATGGATGGATGGATGGATGGG